ACCTTTAATTGTATTTTTATAAAAAAAGACTTATTTTGATAATTACATTACACCTGACATAATTACGGTTACAGTAATCTACAGTTACAAATCAATTAATTCTATTATATATATATTGTTATTTTTAGTATAAAAAACTCTTCCTATAAGTAAAATTTCATGCTATGCATTTTTTACTTAGAAATAAAGGCCAGTTGTCATAGTAAAATTTTGCGTTATTTATGATTTCTTTATTTTTGGCATTTGTTTAGATTTGCATTAAGATCTGCAAGATCTGTAAGATCCTGCAATTTTTATTGGCTCCGAGACTAATTTTTGTAGATCCTTAGCCCAGGATTTTCTTGACATAAGGGAATCCGTCATATACATTCTGTAAGTTTCACAATCATCATAAACAAGAACTTAAATGATATTATCAAATGATTTTTCGAACGCCTCTAAGTTTCACAATCACAATCATCAATAAACAATAATTTTTTAAGATAACCTCTAAAGCTAAGTTTTACAACGAAATTATGCAAGTTTTAGAATATTGAGCAGATAATATAAATAATCTATGGGTTATTTTAAATCTATGGATATTCATCGGTTTAAAGTAACCCATAGATTTTACAGTCACATGGTGTAGATGCATTTAATTTGCTGTGAGAAAAATCTAACAAAAAAAAGTGTTGTGGTACTAGACGCTTAGCCGTGTGAAAAATTATCAAATGATTTACAATTATACAAGATAACCTTTATCCTATCAGGTGGGTTCTGACCCATTTCAGACTGATCTCGATCGGAATTAGCTGACAACATAAAAAACATGAATGCCTCCAAGTTCGGTAAATAACGACCAAAAATTTTATCTTACACCAAAAATACGAGAACATCACTCAATTACTCAAGGGAAGCTAAATTTCATTTTTTTTTTTTTTTTAAATTATTTTGTTCATATATTCACTTATACACTTTTTTTACAAATAATTATAAGCCAGCCTATATTAAGAAACTAAGAGTCAATTTTATTTTTATGACAATGATGACTTTCTTGGTAATAATTTGAAAAGCATTAAAGCTGACTTAACTTATTTTTGAAAATTTTGAATTAATATATTATATGGTTACTAATGTTTTTGTTTTTTACTTTTTTTTTTTTGAGGAAAAGTAGAGTCTATTATCGTGAATAGAAAAGTAGTTTTAATTTGACTATTATTTGATAGAAATAATTGATTACTAATATTCTAATATTTTCACTTTTTTAAGGAAAATTTATTTCGTTCTATTCTATATTTTTACGAAAACAAAATGATTAGTGTTGTACTAAAGAAAGAAAACCTTAATTGCAGCTTCTGTTTTTTTCACAAACCATTTTTAATTGCCTTGTTAAACTTCTGACTGTGAGCCTACCGGGCCGGTCAAGAATGTGAGCCCACCGGGCCATTCTCAGTTTTATTATACACTTTTATTTTTTCTTAAGTGGTTTTTATCTTTTAATTTTATTTTATAATTATTGTTACTAAACCTTTATTTGGCTCTTAAATGATGATTTTTTTTTTGAAAGAGCAAGACACGTCTCTATTATGATATCAATACTATCAATATTATTCTAATAAGAGCTTTTTTTTTACGTAATTTTTTTTTAATAAAGACTATTTAATCATACTTTATTTTGAATATAAACTTAATAAAATTTTCAAAATATTAACTAATATTTTTAATTTAAATGATGTATAATAAATTTGTAAAATGATAAATATGTATGAATAAGAATATTTATCAAGATTTATTTGAGAATTTTTTACTAAATAAAAATTGTAATTAGACATATTATTCTAATAAGAAAATTTTGTTTAGGATTTAATAAAATTTTTAATAAAGTGATTTAATTTGATTTTTTTTTAATAATCAATCATTTGAACATTATAAAGAAAATACATAACTTGTATTTTGATTAAATCGTATTTGAAAAATATTTATATTAAACGAAATTTTTGTAGTAATATTATGGAATTAGAAAAAATGGATTAAATCAATACTTCTATGTACAAATTTTAATTCTTAAGATTAGCATCAATATTCCAACAAGAGCAATTTTTTTAATATAAAATTATTTAAAAAATTTCTCTTACAATTTTAGAATTTATTACTAAATTATAAAAAATTGAATTAAGGAAATATTTACATAAGAAATTTTTATAATATTCAGATATATAGTTGTTAGACGTAACCATGTAATGCTAGATATCACCTATCACAAAATATTAAGACCTAAAAATTTAACCTAATTTTTATTAAGATTTGATATGTGACATTTAGCATCACGTGGTTTCGTCTAACAACTATATTTAGATATAAGAACAAATTGAAGTTAGGTTGTCGCTAAGGCTATATTCTGAAGGAATATAAAATGTAGCACTGTTTAGCATCATTTCCATATTATTATTGTTAATCAGAGTATGTTTAGCCTTTAAAACGTTTTTTTGATATTGATGAACAATATTTTCTTTCTCTTGTAACCAATTATATGCTAAATTATCATCTTGAATTTGGTATAATTCCTTTGCAAGCATTACAATATCTTTTTTTAAAAAAAATAATACGTGTAATAAGGTGGAATCGTACCAAAAATTGAAACTTAAATACGATCCTTGAAGCTGCATAAAATCTACAGAATAAATTGCTTTAATTATTGCTTCTTTATGAATCGGGTTCACATCATCAGATAGATAATTTTTCTCAAATTCTTCACGACTAAAGTAAATTAAATTAAACCAAAAAAAAAAAGCATAAAAATAATAAAAAAAGGAATGCAATTTTTAATTATCTAATTAAAGTATCAACAATACATTGTCTGCAAATTTTAATTTTTAACTCATAGATTATTACGGGATCAATAAATTCCTTATTACAATATAAACATATTTCATAATTTTGAGCTATATTTATTAGTGTGATCTATTTAGGTAAATCTGATGAAGATAAACTGGCGCTATCAAAAGATTATCCTTCAACTTCAGCTCAAGATCCGCTTAACAAAATACCCATCCTACAACAAGAATCAAATAGACTAGATTTAGATAACCAAAATTTAAATGACCAAAATTTAGTCATATTGAATGGAAATCGAGAACTGACACTATCAAAAGATGCCACATTGAATTTTCAAGCACAAACTTCAGATCATGAGTTAGTTTCAACAGACCAATTAACTGTGCGTTCGAAGGTCCTGGATAACATCCAGCTACAACGGCAAAATATTAATATCAATATAAATACTGAAGATAATCAGAATTGGAAAAATATGCTGAAAAAAAACTATCATCTTTTAGCAATAATTGCTGTAGCATCCTTCTTGTAATGGTAATTAACATTAATTAGCTTTGTTAATTCGTACCTTTAAAATTTTTATTAAGAAATTATTATTTATTATTTTGATAGAATAAAGATCGAATCTGGCAAAATAATATTAATACAATTAATAGCAACTGGAAATACGTAAGTAAATTATATAATAAAATTTGATATTTAATGAAATTATTTCCATATTATTATATAGTCATTTGAAACACTGGTCCAAAAATTTAGTAATACTTTTTTCTGAACAAGTAAGTACTTTTTATATTTTTAGGATTTTTTAATGATTATTCTAATTAATATATTGTATAGATTAGAAAATCAAATATATATCAAACAACAGAAAAGGCGTATAAAGAGCTCAAGATTGAACATGGAGTTCTTGTAAAGAATCTTAAAGACCTTGAAATTAATCATAAGAATACCAAAAAAGAACTTGAAACTGCCACGAAAGAAAATACGAACCTTGACAAAAAACTCACACTAAATAAACAAGAGCTTGCAACTGCCAATAAAGAAAATGCGAACCTTGACAAAAAATTCTCATTAAAGGAACAAGAGCTTGAAACCGCCAATAAAAAAAATGCTAACCTTGACAAAAAACTTTCAATAAAAGAACAAGAGCTTGAATCTGCCAAGAAAGAAAATGTGAATCTTGACAAAAAATTTACTCTAAAGAAACAAGAGCTTGAAACCGCCAAGAAAGAAATCATGAACCTTGACAAAAAACTCTCAATAAATGAAAAAGAGCTTGAAGCCGCCAAGAAAGAAAATGCGAACCTTAACAAAAAACTCACAGAAAAGGAACACTATTATAAAGAATCGCAAACAAAAATTAAAGACCTTAACAAAAAAATTGAATCTCTCGAAAAAGAAGTTAGAATATTAGACAAGCAAAGAATAGTAGGCGAAGAAAGAAAACAAGTAATTAGGGAATTGCAACAAGCTTATAAAGAACTTAAAGAAACTTTTGACAAAATAAAACAAGAAAAAATCGAAAAAGAGATAAAAGAACATCAAGAAATATTAGAAAAGGCAGACAAATCTTTAAATGATAATAAAGAATGTTGATTATATCAAAAATATCATAATGATTAAATTTCAACTTATTTTAGTAATTTTATTTAGAATATAAAATTTTCTTAGTTCAGTAGTTGGCTTAATAAGTATATAAATAAAAGAAATACATTAGAAAAAACATATAAAAAGAACAGACAAGTAAAAGCTATTGTCATTCAAAAAATTAAAGTGTAATATTAAAACTAGTTCGGTAGTTCGGTAGTTCGGTATTTTGAACCTCTAATTTGGAAAATGCATTGGCTACTTCTTTCACATGAACAAGATTATTGAATGTTCGATTTTTCAATTTTTTATTAAAATACTTTTCAAATCAAGATTATTTATTCTTATTAACTACAAATTCGATACTAATAACAAATGTAAAAAATCCAAAATATAAAATTCAAGTAAAAGACTAATAAATATTGTGATGATAACAAACGCAAATATGTGAAGCAAGAATTTAAAACTACAAAATTTATAAAAGCTTAAAAAAGGTTTCTTAATTAATAATTAAATAGAAATGTAAATTACCGATTTTTATTTTTTTCCAATCATTGATTTTCAATTTCGATTTTACCTTGCAAAATTAAATTCGCCAATCATTGATTTTCAATTTCTAATCTTTCGATTTCATCTCGCAAAATTAAAATATTCTTCACCAGATTAAATTTAGTATAATTAAAAATATCAAATAATCTAACAAAAAAGTATTTTACCATTCTATTCGCTTTTACGAGTTCCGAAGACATTTTAATTTCATTCAAATTTTTAATCGGAGATTATCATATAAACCAAATTATTTATGTGACATGTGATAACGAATAACTGTAATGGTAACTGGTTATCAGCTTTATTGTGAATATACATTAAACTTCATATATTGTGTAAAAAAATAAATTAATATAATTTTTCCGTTCTATTGAAAACCGGTTAAATACAAGTTTACTGCACATAGTAATATATATTGATATTATATTAAATAAAATTATGTAAAACCAGACTTATTTTGTTGAAAAGAATACAAACGTGAAATTCTCGAACTTTTTCTTTACAAAAAATGTGTTCTATCACACACTTACCAGATGAAACCCTCGTAGAAATATTTAAATATCTAAAGAATAAAATCTTATTTTCATGCTTTGTAAACCATAAATGGTGTAGACTTATTGTTCCAATATTATGGAGGTCTCCCTGTTTTAAAAATAGACGTGTCATCAAAATATATCTTCTAGAACTGAATACCAATGAAAAAGCGCAGTTAATCCCGTTTAAAATTAACTTTCCAGCAAATTCTCCGATGCCACTATTTGAATATACAAATTTTATTACATTTATTGACGGTCGGTGTTTGAGCCTAGGAGCATTACATTTTTTTGAAAAATTCGGTGAAAGTTTTTATACCGTAACAGCTGTTAAACGTTCTCTTCTTTCATTGTTTTTGCGAAAAAATAAAATTAAAAATTTAATTCTTTTAAAGAATAACCTTGGTTCTCTTGGAGGAGAAGAAATAGCAAATGCTCTTATCAAAAACAACAGTTTAATTGATTTGAATCTTTCAAATAATTAGCTTGGCCCCGATGTAGGAAAAGCTTTAGCTAATGCACTCTGCAAAAACAATAAATTAGCAATTTTAGATCTTTACCTTAACCAACTGGGACTGAGGGTGGGGAAGCATTAGCAGATGCTCTTCTTAAAAATTACACTTTAACTTCTTTGGATCTTTCATACAATAACCTTGATGCTTCGGGAGGAATCGCATTGGCAAATGCTCCCTGCAAAAACAATACGTTAACTACCTTACTCCTTTCCAATAATCAATTTGGATCCGAAATTGGAAAACCACTAGCAAATACTCTTTGCAACAATAACGCTTTAACTTCTTTATATCTTGCAAATATTAATCTTGGTTCTGGAGGGAAAGTAATAGCAAATGCTCTTATCGAAAACAACACTTTAACTTATTTGGATCTTTCATCTAATCAGCTTGACTCTGATGTAGGAATAGAGCTGGCAAATGCTCTTTGCAAAAACAATATGTTAACTACTTTAGATATTTACCTAAATCAAATTGGGATTGAAGGTGGTAAAGTATTAGCATCTGCTATTCGCAAAAATAGTGCATTGACTTCATTAGATCTTTTATATAATCCTCTTGAAAATTAAGTGGGAAAAGAATTTGCAGATGCACTTCAAATGAATACAACTCTAAAAATTCTGAAAGTTGATAGTAATGGATTTAATCCCGAAATAAAGAAAAAGTTAGTCGAAATATTAATAAGTGGCGATTTAGATATAGATTTAGATTCTAAAAATGATAGCGTAACTGTTTGTTGATTGATTTTACAATTTTAGATTTTTTTGTCGAATGAGAAAATTTGGTTTGTTAGTTATTTTTTTGAAAATAAAGTTCGTGACTTAGTCACATCAATCAATCGGCCGGAATGGGTCGGAATTGTTAAATTTTGCTTAAAATTGTCAAATAGACTCACTTGTTGATGAGATCCAATATACAAGAATTTAGTATCCGATGGATAATCCGTAATTTCAAGCACTAGGCACGAAGCCGGCAAAACTCTTAACCAAACGTGAACAAAGTGGTTGGTTTTCGGAAATGTGTCATAATTTTACCCTGACTCAGAATATTCCGGAACTCGGCTAGATTATGTCGCTGCCTGAATATTCCGCACGTGATTTTTTTGAATTCCGCGCATCACATGTGGTGACCATCACTACGGCTAGCAAAGTAATAGCAGAAAAAATTGGCAGTCCTGTGATAATAAATCATGGGTTTCATTTGCCTCTTCAATTTGTTTTATTTTCATTCTGCCAGCATTAATATGATTCACCAAAAAATAAAAACGTAATTCGTGATCTTTATGATCTTTTTTATAATTGGTAAATTGCATCTTATTGATAATTGGCCAAGTTTATTATTAAAAATTCTTTATTAGCAAGAAAAGCTAGCAGAATAAAAATATATTATTAAGTATAATTCTGGGCAAAATTAGACATAAGTCAAAATCAATATATTTTTCAAACAAAATTATGTATAATTCTGGGCAAAAACTGGAATAACTCAAATTTTATTAGATTCAACCTCAAATAAGACAAAAATTAATTATATATACCCATATAGAATTCAAAATAAAATCTATATTTAAAAGGTATAGTACAAATTAACTAAGAAATATGCAAGAGTTTTTTTTTTGAATCATTTAAACGATTATGCGAAAAATCTATGCCGTTTTTAGATTAAGTGATAATAATAAAAAAAAAAGGAAAGCACGCATAGAGATTGGATCTAGTTAGTGTAATTTAACTTATAAACCAATCTTATATAGTTGCTTTATTTGTCATAATTGCTTACAACTTTGGAAATTTCAGTATTTTTTTCATATTCTTTGGCTTTATTAACTAGACGTTTATGCTCCAAATGTAAATTATGACTAAATTCTTTTTCATTAACTAATAAAAAAACCCAATTAGAATGTTTATTAACTACGAAAATTTCACATGTTATTGAATATAATTGAATATACCTCGATTTAAATTAAAATTTAATCTTGAGTCATTTTCTCGAATATTAAGGCCGATCACAGTGCTAACAGACTTATAATTATCAATATCATTTTTCACACGATTAATTTCTTCTATCAGTGTATAATTGTTTTGAAAAAGGTTTCCTTTAAAATCCGAACATAATTTATTATTAGACGAAATGATTCATAACTTTATTATAATTATTCAGTGACCAAAATTTTTACCTATTTTCTTTATATAAAGAGCCTTGCTTTCTTGTTGAGCAAAGTTAACTTTATGAATGATTTGCTTTGAGCTGCTCATCTTATTGTTTCGGTCAGTTTTAGTATTAATCTTTCCATAAAAAGCCATAAATTGCTTTGGGTTGTTCAGATAAGTGTTTTTGGTAAACCTTCTCATTTGAGTACTTAATTGGCTTTCCTGTTGAACAAAGTTAACCTTATTTCTGTCACTCACTTTAAAAGATATAAATGCTATGAATTTGTATTTCGATAATGCCATGTTAATTGAAAAAAAATATAACTTTCTTACCTTGGTACTGAACAGTATTTTCTACAACTATAATACACGCGTTTTTTCTGAAAAATCAATGTTAAGGTATTCAAAAAAGAATCTGCTTTGCCGTAAACAAAAAGGATAAGTGAGAATGAGCGAGTCAATTTATCAGATTTCTGTTCGATGAATTCTCGTGTAAACAAGATTTAAAACGTATAATACTGTTAAAAGATCTACAATATACTATTTGTTATATTAATATTTAATTTAGAAATTTTAAATATATATAAGTAAAAAAGGTATATAGACAATGAATTAATCTGACTATATAGCCTATTATATATTTTTTCGATATATAAGCAGTATAATAGATATTTATAACAACAAGATTGATGTATAGTAGTAGTCAACTTCTTTAAAAACAAGTTTTAAAATGTATAGAATCTGCAATAGTATATATAGTTTATACGCATATAATTTAAATTTTAAAGTTTTAAAATATATATGAACTTTAATATATTTTAGTTTACTCGTATTTTCTCGTTTATATATATATGATGAAATAATTCTTACTGAGTACATATAAACTAATTAGAAACTTATTCGGGTTTGAATTCTAACTTGTAGAAATATGAATATGCAACTTTCAAATCAAGAACGAAACCATTTGCTCAAAGTCTACACAAGTTTTTGCGTTGCTATTTTTTCTTTGGGTATTATTTTTAGTGTATGTTTAATTTTAAATTTACAATATTGGTTTAGAAAAATTATCTTTTTTTAATTCGTATTTTTTTTGCATTTAGGTATCTAAATTTATCTTTGGATTATCAATTATACCTTTGTTACTGTAAATTCTATTTTATTTCATTATTTTTTGCTTTGCTTCATATAGTTAATGTTTTTTTTCAAACATTTTATAGCTATGAAGACGTGGCAAATGTCTACAAAAATAATTTCTATATGTTCGGTCCTGCTGAATTGATACCTTTATTAATCAACAAAAAGATACTCAATGATGTTGTATTCATTTCAAGAGTTGCATTTTCAATGTGGAACTAGTATTCGTTTGTTAACTAAGGCAGCTTTTCTTATTTAAATAACGTTAATATTGATTGGTATTCTGATTCGAATTACCTTGGTTGGTTCTGTTTATTGGGTATATGCATAACATTCATTAAGTTTTTTCACAATCAGGATCTTTTTGTAAAATTTTGGGATATACACTTTTTGGGTTTATATGTATTTTTTTCTTCTTTTATTTATTTTGGAATTTCATTAGCTTTGCTCGGTATTCTGAATTGAAATACATAGGATGGTTTTGTTTAATAGGTATATATCCAATTCTCATTATATTTAAAATTTTTGAATCAAATACCATATTAATTATTTTTATCATTGTAGTTTTATTGGTGTTGAATATGATATTTATCATTTTGCTCAGTCGGGATCTCATGATAATTTTGATATTAAAGAACGTACTCTTTATTTGTTCCTACATTTTGTCTTGTGTAATTTATTATTAATATCAATTTTAGAAAAATTGATAATGGTTGAACTCATAAGTTCAATCATTTTAAATTCGTCTTCTGAAAATAAATAATAAATTTATCATTTTTATTGTTCTGATTCGTTATTCAGTATCTGCTTAAATTTAATTTGAGTCGAAATCTAAAAGCCAATATATTTATATAAATGCTACTCAACAATAAACAAATTATAAATTGTAATTTCATTAAATGTTTTAATAAAGTTTTGACTGGACAATTTCTAGACTTCATTTTTTAAACAGTACTTGCGACTTATAGACACTGATTGGCTGATGTAGTTCAATTGCCCAGGTAACTTTTTATATACTTTAAAGTACTTTTTAAGAAATACAACGTTTTACTAATGTAAAAAAAATTTTTTTACACAATTCGCTTTGTTTTAGTGCCAGAAGACTACCTTTAAAAATAATCTTAAATAATCTTAAATTTAAGTGGTGTTAGCTTCGACGCAACTTTCTGAACTAGGTAAAGAAAAACAAAGGTTTGTTTGAATTTTAACACGCACTAAAAAAAAAAAGTTACTAACAAAATAGTAGGTTTTTTTTAGAGATTGGAATTTCAGAGTTGGTTTTTGAAGTGGAATAAGCTTGTTAGTGGTGTTAGCAATAAGAAATTTAGGGTTAAAGCACTCTTAAGTTGGGTTGGTTTAAGTTAGTAAGTTCTGGTTGTTTTAGTCGTTGAACACCACTTTTACTTGGAAATTCGTGGTTTTTATCAAACTAGAGATGCGAGCGTTTGGCAGCATTATGGTTAATTTGGGCCAAAAACTATTAGGATTGGCAACTATACCAGTTAAAATTATTTCTTTTTGGCAGTCAGGTTACGAGACTCTATATTTCGTTATAATAATCTGGTCAAACCATTTGGATTTTATATATAAAAAGATAGTAATAGGATTTGCTAATGCTTTCCTGCCCTCAGGTTAAGGTAAATATCCAAAGTAGCTGACTTATTGTTTTTGCAGAGAGCATTAGCTAAAACTTCCCCTACATCAGAGTCAAGCTGATTATTTGAAAGATTCAAATAAATTAAACTGTAGAGCATTAGCTATTTTCTTTCCTCCAAGAGAATTAATGTTATTATTACAAAGGTTTAAATTTTTAAATTTATTTTTTCAGAAAAACAATGAAAGTAAAGAACGTTTAACTGCTATTAAACCTTCTCTGAATTCTTCAAGAAACTGTAGCACTCCTTGGCTCAAATAACGACTGTCAAAAGATGTAATAAACTCAAATAGTGGTTTCAGAAAATTTTCTAGAAAGTTAATTTTAAATGGAACTAACAGTGCTAGTTTATCTGCATTCAGTTCTAAAAGACATATTCCGATGACACGTCTATTATTAAAACAGAGAGATCTCCATAATATTCGAACAATAATTCTACACCAATTACGGTTAACAAGAAGGTATGAAAATAAGAGCTTTTTATTTAGATAATTGAATATTTGTTTGGGGTTCCCATATATTGTTGTTTTTGCCAAATAACGAATTACTTTCTACATAACTCCAGGCAAAATCAAATTATAAATTCATGCAAAATTCAGGTTGTATAACTTACTGCCTTTCATTCATAATTGAAAAATATTGATCATGTCAAATTTTATATAAATCTAATGAAAACTCAAAAAATTACAATACTGATACCAATCAGAGAATTTGGAAACCAAAAAGGAATTGCCTTTTTGGTTTAAATATGCTAAATTCTCTGATTGGTTGGCGAATGATGATCAAAACAATTGATGGAATTGTGACAATTCAAAGATCTTACGGACCCATGGGTCCGTTTAGTCATGTG